TCTTTCAGACATTGACTGGCAAATGCATGAAATGTCTTTTTGAGTCATCTGTTATTTTTTTATGACCATTTGTCTTTCTGCACTATACTTTTCTTTTTTCTTTTACAGTTGTAGCCATTTCTTTTACAGATGCACACTTGTACCAGTTCACAGGATGTTAGTGTTAGTGTTAGTGTCCAAGTGGGCAGTTTGTATTCACAGTTTGCAGAGGCCTTTGGTCACTTTCTTTATGAATGTACTGATGATTTCCTACATGGCTGTAAGATAGTATCATGCTGGAAAATGGGCTTTCAAGACTGCTGGTGACTTCCAAGTGACTGTGTGTATACAGCATGTCTGTGCGTGTGTGCAGTCAGGGCTTGTGTTTACATGCCGTTAAATGTAATCATCTTTTTTCATGTTTCTGTTTTACTGGAATGACTTTGAATCAAAGCGTGTGTGTGTGTGTGTGTGTCTGCGGGAGGAAAAGTGAAAGAAAGTGTGTGTATGTGCAAGCATTCAATTGCAGTTCTGACAATTATTCAGTCACGGCCTGGTGCACATCTTTATGAGGTGCATGTGTGTGTAAGACTTAAAGGATAGGTTTGGGATTTTCCAAGTGGGTCTTAAAGCAATATTGACATGCCTATACGTATGTGAGAATAGGTCTTAGTTGTTGTAACTTTTCCTACTCTCCACACCGAGCCTGAAGCTATTCATCCCAAACGCAACTATGGTGAGAAAAATATCAGAAAATCTTGTCATAATTTCAGGCACTTCCTGTTTAAAGCTTTTATTTTGGCGCTCACCAGGCTCATTTCCAGTTCTGATTATACTCACCTGTTTTTCATGAGCAATCAAGGTACCTCAGCTCCACTAGCTTCCAGATTGTTGTCGGATGAAGTCTCTAGCGTGCATCGCCGGTGCTTTTGCCCTGTCTTCCATGTTTCTTTTATAGCTTTTCTTGTGGCACAACTGCTTCTTTGCCTGGGCTCACTGCTGAGACCTCTTATCACTGTTTATCTGATCAGTGTTCGGCTCTTAGTTTATCACACTCATGCGCGGACTCTAAGTTTGGTCAGTACTGTGTTTCTGGTTCATGCTAACAAGCACTGGTCAAAACTGAAGTCACATTCTCAAAACTCTTCACACATGTCTGCAGTACTAACTTGCCTCTTGGACAAACTGTTTATCTCACCCCCAAAACTCAGTCAACCAACCAAAACATTTTATATGTCTTAAAATATTATGCAAGAGTTCTCACTCAGTGCATTGTCACCCATAACACACAGACCAAAAACAACACCAACACATAACATTACATAAATGATCAACTTTTTTATCTTTGAAGTCTGAATGATTTTTCACATCAATCAGTATTTAATTAGAGAATAACATCTTTTCACCTTATTGACAGCAGTAAAGTATGAAACAAGAATTTACAAATGCAGCATTTTGCCTCAGTATCCTTTAGTTTTTGCATAGTAATATACTTGTGGAAAAAAAGTTTAACCAAAAATAAATTACTGAAACTCCAGGGCTGCAATAATAATTACAGTACAGTGAGGGTTCTAGTTGTCCCCCTCTCCTTCATTTGGCCACCAGTTCTCATCAACATAATGTCTAATGTCTTCTCTGGTGATGCATCTTGGCGATTACCTTCTGGAAAGTACAAGACGACCCTCTTTCCCCACCAACCTGTCCTCTATGATCCATGTTTCCAAACCAAATCTTTCCAAAGCCACCCCCTTTTTGCTACTGTAAAAGATGGTAAAGAGATTAAACACAGAACAGCTGGGTAGGCTTTTAGCTGAAATCTCAATTAGTTGTTTGGAATGATTTTTCTTTCATTTTGTTGTAAATCTTTTGCTTGAGATGTTCCACTGTATATATTTCAAAATGTTTACAGCAGAAATGCACAAAAATTGCCATAATTCTGTGTTGAACATGAATGTGTGTATCCACAAGGGGTGACATCACAAGGAGTGTGTATAATAACATTTGCATTTGAAAAATGGGCTGCAAATATACAGTGTTTTGCATATGGTGGACTATGAATGAGAAAAAAGCTCATAGATTTTTGTAGATGTGAAGAAAAAATGATTCACTGTGGTCCACATAGACTACTGTTTTGCTAACTGCATGAAGAGTTTTGATAATGTCACTTCAGTTTTGAGCAGTGCATGTTGATAGAGAAAAACTGTAATAATCTCCAGTATTTCTCGGTTTTTTGTTTGGTAGCCATTCCCTGTTGCACCCAGTTTTCCTAGCTTGCTCATAGTCTGTTCATGGTTCTTCTGTCAGTGTTAAGTTACTTCTTTAATAGTTGGCCTGCTTGTTTTGGATAACCTTGTTTAAGTTTTTAACTAAGTTCAAGTTTTGAATTTAACCTGAGCCTTGTTTTCTTGTATGACTAGTGTAAGGTCATACTCTTGCTATGTTTAAAGCCATGTCTGGTTTGTCTGCCTCTGAGTTCGCCATAGTCTTTCCCTGTTGTTCTCAGGTCCAGAACCAAGCTCTGTTTTCCCTTTAAAACACCCCAAAAGCACCGCTGCATTCCACCCCACCACATATTGACCTGCTGAAACATGTCGCGCCTCATCATGGGTTCTGTGTTTGTTTCCACTACAGTGCGCTTGTTTGGAGGTGCATTCTGGGAGCTAAGTTTCACCCCTCAGGAGGTAATACTAAAATCAAGTACGAGGTAGTACTGATGAATGGTCAAATGCCCATGTCTTTACACTACAAACATTAGTATTACCAGCACCATGTGTAAACAGAGCTGACTGTGTGTGTGAGAGGAGCAACCCCTCCCTCCTCTGAACAAAGACCGATAGAGAGAAAAGATACAGCGGCTATGCTTGGTGATGGTTAAAACCTGACTAGCTATTAGTACATCTGTATTATGACAAACTGAAGTGGGATTTTTTTTTTTTTTTTGACTTGAACCTTTAGAAGACTTAAGGCTCACTTTCAGTAGGATATCATTACAGTGCACTGTTAGTGTCTGTTGTCATGATGTCACTCCTTGTGGATACTGGTTACAGTTTGGTGTCTTATTAGGAGAATGCAGATGAACACCATACACTATGTTTTCCACTGTGTGGCAGCGGATAATGCTCCCTGAGTGGGGATGATGGTGCTGAATGAGTAAATAAACCGCAGGAGGAATGGCACATAAGCTACAATTTGCCACAGTGGAACAAAGTCTGTCTTAAATGCTCAGTGTAACACTATATTCAGAGCTTGGGCGCAAGTGTACGCTCATACGTATTCACATCCAAACACATTATTATTCTGCTCCAGTGACTTAAGAGTGTTTCTTCAGATGAGCTTCACAATCCTTATTAAAAAACAGTTTGGAAAAGAACAAGTTGAGAAGAATGCAGGCTGTTTCTCTTTTGCTGCATGTTTGCACAGCACCACAGTGGTTTGACAATGTTATGGAAAATATTGAGGGCATTGGTATCAGAGGTTTCAGCTCCTGATTCTCATCTGAGTCCATAACTTTTTTCCTGTCTTAATCTAAATCAAACATCTTGCATCCATTTTTTTTAGTTCATTCATTGTTGATTAATAAGTGAAATAATCAATGAAGGCTGAAAATAACCATGGTCATAAGCAAAAATAGGTTATTATTGTAGATGTCTTGGGCTGTGAGGATTTACCTCTTTATAGTTTCCGCTAACCAAACCATAGTCCTCAAATTAGGGGAAACATTCTGCTTTTGATGTTGTCATAGATCACCAGATCAAGGCCAACACCCTTTTGGATTTGGATTTGTCGAGAAGGCTTTAGGACAGCAATCCAAGGGCATAGTGCACACCATAAACCACCAGAGAGGATGGCTGTAAAGTAACAAGGCAATCATTCTCTCAAGCTAGCAAGAAACACTAAATGGCATACATATGTACAAGCCTGGAACATACCTACATCACTGCTACTGCAGTTTGAAAGAATTACAAATGACAGTTATGTGAGCAGCCATTAACCAGTTATCAGTAATTTCACATATAGTAGCAGTCAATTACAGACACAGAACATCTGTTAGGATGGCTCGAACACGGAAGTGAGCGAGTAACAAAATTAGGCGGACCGAGGTGGCTCACTTCGGTACAGACAGTGGTAGTTTTATTTACAGTGATATTAATGACAATAAATGAACAGCAGAGTAAGGCAGGCACCGGGTGTCGAGCAAGGAGATATACAGTCAGTGATGGATCTGAGGTGAAGATGACCGGGCTGCGGACACTGGGTTACACTTCCGGGCTGGTCGGGTTGGATTGTATTGAAGAGAACAGAAAAGCAAACATACGGTCAGTAGAGAACTGTGCATCGACCTGTAGGTTGTGGTGGAGAAGAGAGCAGGAGGTCCGTGGTCCGAAGGAGCGCCCAAGGCGAGAAGGGATAAATCCAGGCAGCTGGAGAGAAGGAGGCAAGAACAAACTAACATAGAGTCAAGGGAGCGATGGGTAACAACGAGCTAGACAAAATGCTGGAAAGAACTGGCAGGGGAGTGCACGAAGAGCAGGGACTAAATAGGGAGAAACAAATCAGGTGCAGCTGGTGGTAATCTGGGGTTAAGAAACAGGTGTGAAGGAAAACGTGATCAGGGTCAGGGAGTGAAAACAGAGAGAGGGGAGTGAGAAAGTTGGTGCAGCCGGGCAAACCTGACAACATCTTGGTTTTTCTGTCTCAGGCAGTGAACTCAGCAGAGGTCAGCTTCTAGAGACCACAAGAATCAAGGCAATTCCAACCTTAATTAAAAAAGCAAAGTATGACAGGGAACCTGGTTTACTGTTACACCATACTTTCACCTAAACCTGTGATAACAGTCATAACCGAGCTGTACAGTATGAGGCATTGGACATCAAGCAGTTGGTGTTGAAATGACCACAAGTTGAATTGCACAGCTGCAGGCTTGCATGCAAATAGTTGCATTGGAAATTACACAAGTGATGCATTGTTTTTGTAAATTAATGTATTTATTTCTATCTGTTCTCTTTCATCCTGATCTCCAGCTGGATTTAGGAGAAGCTTCCATCTCAGCAGGAGGGACAGGAAAACCAACAAGTCTATGTATGAGTCTAAGAAAAGTGAAATGTATGACACGGCCGACGTGCCGACATATGAGGAGGTCACTCTGTACCGCAGGCAGAGCGGAGCTAAACACAGGCTGGTGCTCCTAGTAGGTAAGTAAAGAGCAGGACTCTCAAAAATGTCACTGATTACCTTATACTTTGCTTTTGACTTTTGGAGGCTTTTTTTGTGTGAACCCTGGCACTATAGAGACCATAGTAATGAATAATAATTCACACTTACCCCATGGTGACACATCACTAAAATGACTCAGTAACTCAGAGTTTTGAGAGCTCCAGAAGACCCAGGTGGCCTGGCCTGGCCCTCCTACAACCCCCAACCTAGGCATGTGCTTCCCAAAGCTCACTCACAGTCATCCTTAATTTAGCCTTTTAGCACTCAGTGGAGTTGACAGAGCAGAACTCATATTAATCACTCACATGTAGGACTTTCATTTACGGCACCTTAAGTTCAGTCTTTTTTTTTTTTTTTGAGTTGATGGCATTGTTAGCACTTGCTTGGAGGAGTGTGGGTTATAAATCTTTCCCAAGAGCATACTGTATTAATGTGCCATGGTCTTGAAATGAATTTAGCAGTTTCTCATTCTGTTTTTGTGGTTGGAAGACAAGCATTGCCAGTGAATGGTGGAACAATATACAGTACCAAGCCAGGTGCAACTTTAAAGACAAATCTTTCTCAGGACCAGCTGTACCATTAGTGTGTTCTAGACTTTTCCACATTTTCCTTCTTAGCTTTGTTAGTCATAGCAAAAAATTTCAAGAATGTCCCAGATAGATGGAATGAAATAAATCCAAAATTTTCAAATCTATTTCCATTCACTAAGAGATGAGATACACTAAAAGACTAAGAACTTCATCACCTCATTTAAGACAGAAACAGCAGTTTTTAAACATTTGCAAGTTCTTTCTAGAAATAAATACCTCTGGCAACAAGGTCTCACTGAATATTTTTTCCATCTCACGCATGTTCTCCACTGTGTGGTGCTCCTTGGTTCACTTAAATACACCATACAGAGAGCATGGACTTCATCAGACATTTTGGTACTTAGCAATCCCATTTTCCTGCCTGTCATGCTAATGTAAATATTTTTAATTAACTTCCATAATTTGGAGGACACGTTATGGATAATTTCACATGTAACAAAGCAGAGGGCCAAGTAAGGATCTGCTTTATGTTCCTCTTCCTCCCTCTTGCCTTGGTCCTCTCCCCAGAGTCTTTTGATTTTTCTTATTTAAAACCTTTTCTTTCCAGCTCTTTTCTCTCAACTCTTGCTGTTCTCTGTTACTTAGGGGCATGGCCCTGTATTTTACAGTGTAAGGGTGTGTGATATCAGCGCTTTAAAATCACTTTCCACCAGTAGTATCTGTGCTATATTTAATCTATTAAAGCAAGTGGTACAATATAGTATAGAAAATTCAACACGCAAAAGCCGAGCCTCAGACCTTCTCTTTGACAATTCCCAGTCTAACACAAATGCAGTTTACAGTGATAATGTTAGCACATACATCATTGACATTCTTCACTTCAGATACAGATAGACAAGAGTGAAACAGTGGTTGATTTTATCAGCTTAAATGACAACTGTTTATAGCAGTTTATAAGCAATAGCTAGCTTTAAAAATTAATTAATGT